GTGTGTGTGTGTGTGTGTGTGTGTTGATGATTCAAGAGCAATGCTGCAACCACGCAAAAAAAATTGTCATAATATATAAAAGTAAAAGCAACCGTCCCCAGGGGGTTTGGGGGTCAGTTGCGACCTCTGAATTCTTCCATTTAGATAAACAAATATTGTGAATCACATGTCAAATGTAATCATCTTTAAATTGCAAGGGTAATTTGCAGACAGATTCATATATTAGAGTTTGGTTGGTCTCTGAGTAACTGAGAGAAATAGAAAAAGTGTTGGAACCGTCCCCAGTCTCCCCTACCAAGAAAATACAGTTTTTAATGTATGTGAAAAGCAGAAATTGGAGTTTATCAACATAGTGGAGGTAATTTCATTTTTCAATATGTTGCAACCCTTCCTGATCCTGTGTTGCACACAATTGCTTAATACCCATGTTCATACTTGGTTTTCAGTCATTATACAGTTTTCAGGAGTTGTTTAGCTGCTCCTGACAGGTTTGTGTTTGGCTCTGGGCCCAGTAATGACTTTCTGTGGCTCTGGAGAGCGGGGGCCGGCTGTGCTTTGGCATTTCGGTGAAACTGTATTGAACAGGAAGTAGGTCGCTGTCTATCGAGAGCGTGATGGGACATACGGCGGTGATAGTGGTGGAGTGGTCAGGGGGGGAGGGGAGGGGTCAATTTATGTCGTCCTCCATTAAATGTCCTGATTCAGATCATTCAGACCCCCCCCCAAACACCACCCCACCCCCTTTCTCCCATATAAAGATGAGTAATGTGTGCAACGCCACGCAGTCGGCGGAGGAATATATTATCCCCCCGGCCCGGGTGGCAGTGATGAATGTGTGGGACAAACTCGCCGCACAGTCACCGGAGTAAGTGCAGGGAGCGAGAGACACACGGATAGTAAGAAAAGGAGGAAGAGAGAGAGAGAGAGAGAGGAGAGCACTTTAAGCAGTTTGATTTCTTTAGTTTTAAGTGCACTCCTCGCTGACAGGATGGGGACACGGTGCCCTGAGACCACCCTCTCCTTCCCTCGCCGTAAAACACAGCTCTAAATCTGCAGGGGATCTCTCTGCTACATCAAAGCGCCATGAGTGGACAACAACCCCCCCAACCCCCTCCCCCCCTCCTCCTCTCTACTGACTTTTGACTATGCATCAGAAGTGATGGGCAGTAACAGTCAATTTGCCTGTTTTGCTTGATGTACAGCCGGCTGAATAGTCGTGTCTGAGCCCACGGAGCCCCTGCAGCGGGGCCATCAGATGTGTATCAGTTAGAGCCTATGACAACTTAACGGCGGCGACGCTTGTTTTACGAGCATCTGCCTCTTCAAGGTTGTTTCCCGCCGCCCACACTGTTCCACCGGCTGCCTCCTAATGCGGAGCTAAATAATAAACAGGAACTCGCTGACACTGTCCCGCCGTCCTGCCTCTGTAATTAGCGGGTTTCTGTTTAACCGGAGCCGATCCAGGGCATGGACCCCAGCTCCTCCTCAGGCTATCCGCTCAAAACCCTCACCCCACCCTCTCCTGCTCGGTTACAGGTGAGGAGTTGTGAAATAGATGCAGGCGCATTAGCCCCCACTCAGTGCACAGTGGAGATTAATAACCTGCCACTGAGATTTGCTTTTCGCTCCTTCCCCCTCACTGTTTTCTTTTGCGGAGGAGGAGAATGATACACTCCTCCTATCCTCTCCTCCACCTCCTCCCCTCGCTGTGTTGCTTTTTCTGCCAAGCCTTACCTAGGTGCAACGCGTACGGTGTAGCCAGGTTTCCTGCTGCAGCAACTGGAAGAGAAACCAGTAATTGGTGTGGGCAGTTGGCATCCTCTTTAAACCAATCACAGAGAGCAGAGTGGATCTCTTTACCCAGTTTAAAATGGCAGAGGGTGATTTTAAATAGCATGTTCCTGAGCATACACCACATGTCCTAATTACTGACTGTTCAAATAATGGCTATGTGTTAATGTGAGCAAATGAAGGGCTTATTAAAGGTCACGTATTTAACACTTTTATTTTGAAGTTTTTATCCATAAGAAGATATATTTGTGGTTTTAAGAACCAAAACCATCTCAATGTAGTTTTACATCTCCTCTCTCTCTGGAGCTCTAATAACAACAGGTCAGTGAGCCAATCAGAAGAGAGGAGCCTCAGAGAAACACTCAGAGAGACCAAATCCTGCAAAGATTGGTGATTGGTGATCGGATGGTGGGTGCAGATGGGTGGGTCTTGGGGCATGGCTGAAAGCAGTGACTGCTTTGTTGTGACATCGCAAAGTTCAAGAAGTCCTTATGGCTCATTTTAAGCCCTGATGCTGGCCCTCTCTTTAATCACCAGTAGGCTTGGTGAGGGAGAATGGGAGAATCTCTAACGTAGCGTATTTTAGCATCTTTTCATAACACTTAGTGGAGTTAGCATCTTTTCAGAACACTTAGTGGAGTTTAGCATCTTTTCATAACACTTATTGGAGTTAGCATCTTTTCAGAACAGTTAGTGTAGTTAGCATCTTTTCAGAATGTTAGTGTAGTTAGCATGTTTTGAGTATGGTCAGCGTATGTAACATCTCTTCAGAGCAGGCAGTGTAGTTAGCATCTTTTCAGAATGGGTAGTGCAGTTAGCATCCTTTCAGAATGGTTATAGCATCTTTTCAGAACGGTGAGCATAGTTAGCATCTTTTATTTGTTTTTGTTGTAGCTTGTAACTGGCAGTGGCAGTGGTTGTGCTAATGCAAACTCTCGCTCTCTGTACTGACAAGGTTTGAGGTTTATTTTGAGTCAGACTTTTAACGTAAAACATCTATGGTGGAAGTGTTTCGTTTCACTTTAGCTTAAAAAGAAGCAGCTAAATTGAAGCTAGCGATGAATTAAAACAATATTTTAAAGACAAAGCAGCAGAGTGGTGTGACATGACTGTTGTGCTGATGGTGTTTGCAAATTAAAACAGATGCTAAAACAGAGCAGCTAAATTAGCAACAGCATCCTGTCTCTTATATCAGCCTAAGGTAGATAGCTGGCACTGGATCTCTCACACTCACAGCAGAAGGAGTTGGCCGGCTCCTCTCTCTCAGTCTGATATTTTCTTCAGCAGATGCTCTCATCCCGAGTGACATTTGAGAGACTTCCAAGCGAGCCCGGTCGGCAGGGCTGGGGATAATGGGTTCGTTCAGCGTGTTGGTTCCAGGCAATCGAAGCTTACTGTAGTGCAGGAGATCTGAGAGATGCTGTGCCATGTGAGGACAACAGTGATACTTCTTTTTTTGCCAATTTTTTTCTCAAAGGAGTAAAGCAGAAAGATGCGTTCATTGACTGTATTCTTTGCGTCAGACTTGGTAGAGAGCACCCAGAGGATTTCACGTTGATGATGAAGAGGCTGGTGGCTGATTTATTGTAAACCCTGCATGTTCTGAGGATTTATATCTTCTTTTTCCATCTTCTTTCATGCAAATTCCCTAGTCTTAATTTATAATCACCACCTACACATGTACTAATCACCCAGCTTAATCACAACTGGAGAGCCTCATAAACAAGGTATTCATCTGGCCTAATTGCAGCATTATACAGAGAACAAATGGAGGCGGGAGGGGAGAAAGATGCAGAGATTGTAGGGTTAAAGCCATGGAAATTCTCATCAGGGTCTGTGTGAGAATGTCAAACCATATCTCTAACACTGGCAATCTGTCTCATGTGCTGCACTGTAAAACAATCAGTGTAAAATTAAAAAAAAAAAAAAAAAAAGTCAAATTAATTTCCCTTTGGAAATAGTGAGAGTGATGGTGTTTAGTGCTGGTTTGCTGATTACAGCATCATGAATAAGTGTCTTCCGTGTGTCCTGTGTGACCGAGATTCGCTCCAAGCTGTTACTGTACTGGATGACTTTAGCTTAGCTTCACTTTAGCTGCGGAAGACAGTGGATGAAAAAGTATATGGTCTTTTAATAGAGCCGCTACATGCAGAATTTGTTCATATTTTGAATGGTTCTGATGTGATATTTGTGGAAGCCCTGAGAGGCAAGTGGATGTGTGAATCTGTGAACCGACTGTGAAAACAATTGATTTTTTTTATGTCAAGATACATTTTTTTAGATAAATAAGTTTTTTCTCTTTTTTTCATCTGTGAAAACAGTTGAATTTTATTCTTACTTTTTTGTAAAATGTAAAAGAAAAGAGCCTGGGAAAAAAAATTCACCTGTTTTCACAGAAAAAACTTGAGCCAAAAAAAGAAGAAATATTACTTGCCTCTCGGGGCTTGTTCTCTCAGATGGAAGAAAATGAAATAAATAAATAAATAAAAATGAACCTGGAAAAATCAGCTGTTTTCACAGATAAAACAATAAAAAGAAAAAAAAAACTAGGAAAAAAATGAGCCAAAAAAAAAGCAATTTCACTTGCCTTGTGGGGGTTGTTTTCACAGATGGAATAAAAATATTCTTATCCTGGCAAAAAACTTTCCTCTCAGGGCTCCTGTAAATATTTCTATTTACGTTGTATAAAAATGAAACAATCCTGATTTAAATGCCCCCTACAGTATATGTTTCTTTCGGGGGGGGGGGGGACACATGATACTGTTCTGTGCCATCATACAGTATATGTATATACTGATATATATATGTATGTATATATACAGTATATATACTGCATATATTTATATCTCTAAAGATCACAGATTAAGGGGCAAAATTCACATGTTCCCACAGTTAATTTGATTTGATGAAATGCTAAATTATTTAAGAGAATGTGCTACGGAAGTTTAATACTGACTTTAAATATTTTAGAAACTGAAATTAGATTGTGACATTGGGCCGCTCAGGGGCCTAAAGATTAAAATATAGGAGCCACCTTAAGGCCCTTAAAGAATCAGTTTATCTTGTGCAGTTAATTGAATTGCCACTCACTAAAGATGGAGCCGTCGGGGCCCTTTATAATCTTTGCATTTAGTGCATTTTGCTAATCTATGCATGCATCCTTTGTGCACTAAATTCATGCATGTCTTATTCTTTTTCCGTCCTTGCAGACATCCACGATGAGAACGGGCTGAAGCCGGTCATGGTTTACATCCACGGCGGCTCCTACATGGAGGGAACTGGCAACATGATCGACGGCAGCATCCTGGCCAGCTACGGGAATGTCATTGTCATCACCATCAACTACCGGCTCGGAGTCCTAGGTGAGCGTGGGCTGCTTTAATTAGTTTGGAGGAAGCTGACTGAATCGGTACGGAAGAGGATTAGGGTCACATTAGGTCATTTTTTTTTTGTTTTGAATTCTGAATTCAATCTCAGGATTCTGAGTTTAAAGTTTTAGAGTTTATTTTCACATGTTGCCCCTATCCTCCTCTGTAAATCAGGTATTGATTTAATGACTAATTGGATCCTGCTGTTGCATCAACTGGCTGGTCTTTGCATGGGGGGTGGGGGGGGCTACGACACTCACGTCGCTGTTTGGGTGCGCATCCAAATCCTCTTAAGCTTTTTTTTTTTTTTTTTTTCAAATACATTTTTGAATCTTTGATGCCTTTAATTAAACTGGAATTACTCATGGTTTGTTTGTTACCATCGATTTCACCGAGGCAAATCAAGCAGGTTAATCCGTCCACACTCTCAATGGTAGTGTAGGAGGTCGTTTGCATTTTTCCGCATTCCCCTCATTATTTCAAATGGTTGTGTTTCAATGCAGCCTCGGACGACCCACACAGCACCAGATAAGCACATGCAAATGAAACAAAGACTCCATTTGTGCCCTTTTCAATTACTTTAATCATCCTGCAGCATCGAACATCAAGCGGCCTGAAAAACCCAGTGCAAGGAAAACTTGTATCTGAGCTGGTATCGACACCGCAACACTGTGTGCATCTTATTTTGCTCCCGTCTGCGAGATGAAAGCAGTTTCTGGCTCGCAAAGGGATACTTTATCTTTGCTTTGACATAAAGGTTTGGCTTTTGAATGTCCAAGAAAATGTTTGAGTCTGAGCAGAGGCTGATAACATCAAACGTTTGTGGAGATTTCAGCCACTCTGTATCGAAATCCTTCAGGAGCAGGCAAAGCTGTGGCCTGTTTCCTGCTTTTCTTTTCAAGCTGAACCTGCATTCAATAAAAAAATATAGCAGATTTCAGATAAATACTTCAAATCCTGCAAGGTTGGATGGTGGGGGCGGTGATTGCTTCAGGAAGTCTTGATGGCTTGTTTTAAAGTAGCTTTTTCAAATTACTACATAGCTAATTCTAGCTTTAGCAGCTGCTTACTTACCAGTCTAGAGGTGTGAGTTCAGCATCAAACTCCATACGCCCACCCCATCTCCTTAATACTACTTTCCACAAGAGGATGAAGAAGTAGCGTTAATCAGAGGGTGTGTTCCAACCCCTTGACTTGACAAAAACGACCCATCACCACCACCCACTCCCAGCAGAGAAAACTGACACATAGCACCTTTAAGGCTTAGTTTCTGGTGACTGCTTTGATGTGACATCACAAAGTTCAGGAGGTCCAGACGGCTCGTTTTAAGGCTCAGTTTCTGGATCTGCTTTATAATCAAACAACACATGAACATCTACCTTTATACTATATGGGACCTTCAACTCAACACAGGTTGACTGAGTTCATTCTGTTTTAAATTAAGATCTGATGATCGGTTTAGTTGCATTAAGATGTCATTTCTAGGAGACAGGGTTGCACATAGATTAATGAAGTCAATCCAAAATAGCTTTCACAAATCAGCTGATGTGTTATAACATTAAAAACTTTAAAATTTTTGCCTTTTTTTGTCAAAACCAGCATTTAATATCCTTAAGTTTGTGTATATAAGTTTGTAAGATGCTATAATTCATAATAAATCTCTGCTTCTTTGTGTGTAAAATGAGTTCTTACACCATCCAGTTATAAGCCAGTGATATCTGTCTTGATACCAAGTACACTTCCATAATCATATTTCATGGATTTAGATTCAGCCCTGAGGTACAGTATGTGACACTGATCTTGGCTTTAGAGATAGATTTGAGTTCGTCTTGATGTGGTTTCATGTGGTTTCTCTGCTGTTTGCATGTGGTTCATTGTCTCTTGAAGTGAAAGCCACAGTACACCCAACCACCGCCGCCGCTCCGCTCTGCTCTGCTCTCCTTACCATTTGTTATAAGGCCGAACTGTCTGCACCAGTCACTATATTTAGTAGCCCTGAGAGCCGGGGGGAAAAGGTGTTCTGGAAAAGTGTGCACAGAGGAGAGGAACAGAGAGAGAGAGACAGAGGGAATGCAGATGAGAGTACAGATAAAGACAAACAGACAGAGGAGAACAGGTAGATACCTTGATAACATGTTAGGGAGGAGCTGGTTCACACAAACCGCAGCAGTTTGTTCCTTCTTTATTCCATAATCTAGACCTGATTACCAACCTGGGAAAATGGGCCAGACCCCAGGGGGCCACCGGTTTTTCATAATTTGTAGAGGGGCCTCTGGTCCGCTAACTTCTGTAGCTTAATACATCTCTTATTCAGCATTTCTTTCACCGGTGAAAAGGGACACAGACGGTCAGAAATCCCGCTGTTATTACAGACACGTAAACTAACCACAGATTCTCAGAAATCCCACTGTTATTACAGACTGTGAACTTACCGCAGATGGTCGAATATCCCACTGTTGTTACAGACAGTGAACTAACCACAGATGCTCCACTGTCCCACTGTTATCAAAGACAGTGAACTACCCACAGACGCTCAAATGTCCTTTGAATGTCCCCCTGTTATTACAGAAAGTGAACTAACCGTGGATGCTCCACTTTCCTGCTCTTATTGCAAACAGTGAACTAACCATGACCCCTGACTCACTTGTTCTGTTTGAACTGTGCCATAAAGATTCTGAAGCCTGTGAACTTAAACGTCAAACAAATAATCCTCGATCTTCTGAGCCACACCCACACTGCTGAGTTCTGGTGCATGTTTCTAAGTATATTTTTTTGGGGGGGGGGGGCTTTTTTATGCCTTTATTTGATAGTACAGTAGAGAGACAGGAAATGGGGAGGCAGAGAGAGGGGGAATGACATGCAGCAAAAGCTGTCCGAGGCGCCTGCTTAGACCACTACGCCACTCGACTCCCCCCCGGTGCATGTTTCTATATAAATGTGAGTGGTGGGGGCAGTAGGGGCCTGACAATAGACTTTTACCCTATGGGCCCTTAACACATGTTTCAGTCCACGGCTGTAATGACTAAAGCTGATGAGCTGGATGTTTGTGTTAAGACCAGTTTCCTCTTAACAATGGCTCAGCCAGGTGAGCTCTGCCAACTCGGCCACAAACACCACATACCTTCCATATCCTGCTCTGCAATAACAGGATCCTGCTGGTACCCTGATGGTGAGCTTTTAATGTGAAGCAGCAGCTGCAGGCTGTGAATACTTCGCTTTAATGCACATTGAGTGACGCTGCAGGAAAGCGAGGTACAACAGTGTTTTATGTCGGCTGTGGACGTACAGGTGGGGACATGGTTTCATTGCTACAACAAAGTCTATTTAGGCAAGAAACTGTTATAGTCAATAACTCATCTTTAAGGACCAGAGTCCAGATGCAGAGTCTGTTGGTGAGGGATAGAAGGAGGGAACATGAGCAGCTGGTCCAGACACGAGAAGGAGGAGGAGGATGGTCCTGAGGTGCCTGGAGATAAAGGTCAGAATTAGAGTTCACCATGAGGTCTGGACGTTACGCCACGCTGGAAGACTGAACGTGGAGAACCGAACTTGACCGCAACAGATAGAAATGATATTTGAATGCGGAGGCAGTGTTTTCAAAAGCTGTAATACGAAGAGTGAAAGACACCAAGTTCTTGCTTTGAACCAGAACATGTAGATTCACGTGTGACAGAGTGAGAAGCGTCTGCTAAGTGTCCATAAAATAGACGCCACAGTCCCTCTCACCTCTAACAGATACCTCCAGGTGCTGCTAGGGAGGTGCTAACATGCGACGCTGCCTGTAGTGTGTGTGTGTGTGTGTGTGTGTGTGTGAAGTGGACGGCAAGCTCGAGGGGCGTCGTCAGCGCCGGCAGGCTGAGAGAAGAGGAGTGTGAGTGGAGGGAGAGAAGTCATCAGACATTCATCACCCGTCACCGCTTCACCATCACACACCATGTTGGACAGCTGGCAGTGGCTGTGGAGCTTACGCTGATTCTTACTACTGTTTCAATACTGTTGAATTAGTTATTTTCATACTTAAAGGTCCATATTTTGCACTTTTCCTGTGTTTCATTTTGAAGTTTTTATCCATAAGAAGATATATTTGTGGTTTTAAGAACCAAAAATCAACCCCGTGTAGTTTTACATCTTCTCTCTTCTCCCTGAAACTAAGAGAGGAAGCTCTGAGCCTCTCTTCTGATTGGCTGACTGTTTTCTGAGTGATCCAATGAAAAATAGCAGATTCCAGGTAAACACTCAGAGAAACCAAATCCTTCAAGGTTGGATGGTGGGTCCAGTTGGGCGGGGCTTGGGGCAAGTTTGAGGTTGGTGACTGCTTTGTTGCGATATCATAAAATTCAGGAGGCTTAATGGCTTGTTTTAAAGGTCCCATATTGTCTAAAGTGAGATGTCCATGTCCATATTTCATGTTATTGAGCATTTGTGCTACAATCCAGCATGTTTACATTGTGTGAAGCTAAACCTGAACTTTGTGATGTCACAACAAAGCAGCCACCACTCTCAGCCATGCCCCAAGCTACGCCAACCTGGACCCACCATCCAACCTTGCAGGATTTGGTTTACCTGACCTCTGCTATATATTTTTTAAATAACTCAGAAAACAGTCAGCCAATCAGAGGAGAAGCTCAGAGCCTCCTCTCTTCTGATTGGCTCACTGAGCTGTTGTTACTAGAGCTCCACAGAGAAGCCTGAGAGAGGAGATGTAAAACTAAACTGGGATGGTTTTTGGTTCTTAAAACCAAAAATATATCTTCTTATGCCTCAACACTTCAAATAAAACACAGAAGAAGAGGAAAATATGCAACATTTAAAGCGAGCCCTGCTTTACTGCAGGTCTAAGTCAAGTAAATTGCTTAATTTGTTATTTCCCAGGAAGTTTGCTGCAAAGAAGACAGTAATTTTGAAAAAAGTAGGAAAATCCATTAATTATTCAAAATTCAATGCGCACATATGTTTGACTATGCTCGTACACAAAGTTCATATTTTTGACGTCC